TCTCCGTCAAATCCTTCCTGCCATGGTCCTCCAACTCCTCAGCGGTCATAAAACCAAAAGGGAGGCTGCCTCGAGGCATAGCCACATGCCTAATCCTGTCTCTTATACACATCTAGATGTGTATAAGAGACAGGTTCATTTTGAGCGGTGAGTTGCCCCCTACACAGGAAAACGAAGCCTAGGGTAAAAGTAAAAAGAAAGAAGAAAGAAAGAAAGAAAGAAAGAAAAGAAAGGAAAGAAAGAAAAGCAAGAAAAGGAAAAAAAAGTGACAGCCACGTACATGACTGCGGTCATGGGATAGGTGCAGGGGCAAGAAGGTTCTAGGGGGTGATGAGACTGCGCCTATTCGTTTTTTGAACAGGCGGTAGTCTGGCTGGGTACAACCGTTTCCGGGAGCACCTCGCCTGGGAAAACGGCCAGGTACTTTTCGAGGTTAATGACCTTGGTTTCCCTAGGGGAAAACCAAGGCACCGGGATCCTGGCCGTTGATTTAGATTGAGGGCCAAGAGCACCCACGAATCTTGCCTAGTTGTGGGCAAAGCATCTGCGCACATGCCTTCGGCTGGCTATAAAAGCCAGCTCCTCACCCAACAGCCTTACACTTGTGGCAATGCTGCTGGGGCATTCTACTTGAAGTAGATGCTGACTGGCTAACTGCTGGTGTAGTGAGGGAGTGTTGGCGAAGTGTTGGAGGTCTGCAGGAGCACATGGGGAGAGCCAGGCGGTGGCCATAGCTGGGAGGCTTGAGCTCAGAGCCATTCCTAGGCACTTGATGTTGCGGCCGCTAGGCTGCGTCTTGGACTAGTGTCGCGGAAGGGATGCTGCTGGGGGAATAGTGGAGGTCTGTACGGAAATGAGAAGTGGTGGAGGCAGCCATAGCTGGAAGCTGCGAGCTTTTGCCCCACCTATATGCTTGTGTTGTGTGTATGGGCAGGTGTTGCGGCCGTGAGACTGCGACAACGACACTTCGGAGGGGAAGTGCTGCCAATTGTTTTTGGCACGGCGGCAGCGACCCTTCGGTGGGAAGATGCTATCGGACTGACGGCGTGGCGGCATCAAAGTCTCCCTAAGAGGAGGTGCTGTCCATTTGGTGGCACGACAACGGTTGGCAGATTTTTGACACGGCAGCGGCACTTCGATGGGATACGGCGGCGTGGTACCGGTTTCGGCGGTGTGGCGAGCGACGGTTCCACTTTTAATTTTTGATGTGTGCGGTTATGGTGGACTATTCTCTTATGATCCGACGGTAGTATGGGCACTGGTGCACATTTGGGATTGTGAGGCAATGGTGTGTGGGCCGGCAGCATGAAGAAAGTGCAGAGTGAGTGCACACGACATTGATTATTGGACACGCGGCACATGCAGTTTTCAGCCAGGGCCACCTTTATTTTTTTTGTGGCGTGGGGTGCGAGAGCTATTGGTGTTTACGACCATCTGGTGCTGAGGCGGTTACCCAGGACCACTTGGGACCATTTTTGGGAACAAGTGAGACCAACTTGAGGGTCAAGATTTTGAGCGTGTGTGGCCTGTGTTTCCCACATTTGGAACTACCTGATGCGGACGCAGTGATTTGAGGCAAAGTGGCGCTACAAGTTGGGTTGGAACAGATCTTTGGAGGTCATGGTGGAGTTGGGGTTGTGTAGGGCACTGGGACCTTGTGAGCCTTATTGTTGATAACACCCTTCTTAAGGGTTATCTCATTGAGTTCTTTAAGTGAACCTAATTTTTGCTCAGTCGGGCATTTGAAGAGAGAGGCGGTCGTCGTTCAGTGGAACGAACACGGGTTGTGGGGTTGTTCCCTCATATTTTCAGATTCGACAACAATCGTCTTTTCAAATTTGATTAGAATATTATTCGGCTTTCTTGAGTGAGCCGGATCAAACTTCACTCAAGGTCAGTCAGTTGAATGACTAAGACTTCCCTTCACACTTGTGTAAACCCACTCTTTGCTTGACCCTGTTTGTCTCGAATGTTCAAAAGAAAAGGTAGAGGAAAGTTGTGTGCTGTGTAACCGGTTGAACGCTGTGAACGCGCATTCACGTTCAAACGCGCGCGTTCAACCCCCCGAGCCCCGCGTTCAATCACGTTTAAACGCGCTGCACGCGCGCGCCCGCGAAAAAATTGAACGCAGTCCCGCGGGGTGCGCGCGCGATTGGGGCTACGGGGTGGTGGTCCGAGTTCAACAATCCACCAAAGTGCGAAAACCGCCCCCCGGGACCACCCTATACC